AATGTTTCCCAGCATCACGGTCTTTTCCAGTGATTGGGCTCTTTGGATCAGATGGCCAAACTATTGGAGCTTCAGCATGGGTCCTCCCAACGAATATTCAGGACTGACTTCCTTTAGAATTGACTGGTTGGATCTCCCTGCAGTCCAAGGGACTCTAAGAGTCTTCTCCAGCACCACAGTTCAAAAGCATCAATTCAGTTCAAAAGCTTTCAGCCTTCCTTACGGTCCAACTCTCACATCTGTACACGACCACTGGAAAAACCATAGCTTTGACTATACAGACCTTTGTCGGCAAAGTAATGTCTCTGGTTTTTAACATGCTGTCTAGGTTTGTCACAGCTTTTCTTCCAAGGAGCAAGCATCTTTGAATTTCATAACTGCAGTCACCACCTGCAGTGATTTGGGGTGCCCAAGAAAATAAAGTCTGTCACTGTCTCCATTGTTTCCCCATCTATTTGCCATGAAATGATGGGACCGGATGTGATGATGAAGCCTTAGTCACTGTTTATTATGGGTAATTATCCCCCCGGAACCTATAGAAGATTCCTGGCATTTCAAATGAACTAACAAGATCCTCTGGTACTTCCACCTGCAATGTAATCTTAACCTAAATGCTTTAATATCATAATTTAACAAACACTAAGAAACTATATGTACAACACTGTGGCTGCAAATGTGAACCTACCCTTATGAAATGTGTAGTATAAGTGAGAGACAGGTGTCAATCAAAGAAATCAAAATATCACAGAAGTAAACAAATCCCACAGTTTGGAGGACACGATACAATGGTTTGGGCCCTTTTCTATGTGTATATCCAACTTAACTAAAAAGTTTTAAATGATATTTTGCATCCAAAACACGCTAATAATTCCAGAATCTGAGAACAGGAAAGAGTTTGAAAAATCAAGTCATCCGTTTTCCTCGTTTTACTTATGAGGATGCCAGAGTCCAGGGAAAGTCAGATAAGTGGCTTTCCTTAGGGAGTAACAATGCTTCTAATCCAGGATCTGACCTTGTCCTAACTCTGCCCACCGGACTCACTCCCTTGTTATTCTATATACTTTTTAGCATATTTTCATTTCCTATAATCTTCTCTCCGGCTCCACCTATAAAAATCTATCCAAATCCCAATTCAAAAGCCCAGGAAGCTTTCCTCCATTAGCCTACACAAGCACTCATTTCTGCACCCCCTAATTCACCCCGGACTGTGTATTTGGGTAACACATGTCACCTCTTACAGCTAAAGATACCCTCCTTGAGGGTGGAAAGCCTCAGGGCACACAGGTAGGGGCCTCAGCGGCTGCTCATTGTCCTAACAATGAAGGCAATAATCATCCCATCAAAGGATCTACGCCAGTAAAAATGCCTCTGAACAATCAGAACGAGTGAAGAAAGACAAATTCCTGATGCTGGCATCAGGAATTCTATCCTTTATTTTACAAGCATCCATATAGCAATTCAAACAGAACACACACTACTCTGAGTACCTTATAAATATTAACTCATTTAATTCCCTTAACAAACTTACAAAGTAAAAACTACTACTAACTCATCTCACAGATGAAGAAAAGGAAACATATAAAGATGAAATAATTTGTCCAAAATCACTGGGCCAGGATTTGAAGCCAGGATCCAAAATCCATTCTCTTAACCACTAAGCTATGCAACTTCATAACAATGTCAACCACCTTTACTATTAATAAAATGACGAGATAATTTAGAAAAATAAAATCACCTATCTTAAAAAACACGAAACTACATTTTTACTTTTTACTAAAAGTTGATTTAAAAAATCATTAGACTAAGGACCTATAGTACAACACAGAGAATATCCAATATCAATGGTTTATGGTAATAAACCATAATGGAAAATATGAACAAATGTACATATATGATAACTGAATCACTTTACTGTACACCAGACACTAATACAACACGTGGTAAATCAAGTACACGTCTATTTTTTACAAAGTCACTAGAATTTCAAGTTAAAATTGTGTTAGATGCTAAACTCCAACCCCCACCAAAAAAATATATCAAGAGGTATCTAATTATTTTAACTCACAAAACAGTGACAAATGACACCTGGGCTTTCCCACTACATTTCCTAATTCCCTTTAGGAACACATTATTCTCTTGCTTTCTGTCAGTCTCTCAAACGAGTCTTCCTGTCGCCATTTTTCCAAATCTTTAAATAGCTACTATCTAGTTGTGAGGCATGTCACATCTGGCCTCTTGAACAATTTCATCAGCTTCGCCTTGAAGTCACACTCATGTTAAAGGTCAAGAAAGGATGCCCTGTAATGTAGCCAATCCACCCTCACCCACCAGTAATGCTTGCTCCAAAACAGATACAATGTGCTACACAGGACAGGTGACAGCTGGGAACAGGGAGATGGATAACAGCTGCAAGCTGAATGCAGGGTAATTGGGGTAATCACTAGCCCACTGGGTAAAACTGTGAAGCTCTATAAAAAGGACATACTGACACACAATTGCAGATGATATGAAGTTGTTTTGAATGATGCTTAGCAAAAGCAAGAAGCAGGACATCCTGAGTTGCTCCTTTCAAGCTACCAGACAGCTACCATACTAGGCAAAGCCTAAGTGGGAAGCCTGGGCTGGTTTTCTCCCATACTTTACTAGCCACAGACAATGTCAAATATGCAATAACAGGAAGAGGAATACTAATCATTTCTAAACACTAAACCCCATTTGACACTAAATTTTCCATCAAAAAGGATTTTTTAACCTTAAGATGTTTTAACCTAGTTTTGCGAACTATTGCCTATGCACCAAATCAAGCCTGTTTCTGTACAGCCTTCGAGCTAAGAATTTTTTTATGTTTTTAAGGGTTGTAAAAAATAAAACAACAGACATTGTGTGGCCAGCAAAGCCTTAAATATGTACCATATGACCCTTAGAGAGTTTGCAGAGCCCTATGTTAAAACAAGCACAAAAGGAATAGCTAAGATTTAGTTAATCCATCAGTGGTTCACATATTAATTTTTTGTTTTCAATCACTGGAGCTAAATATTATTAACCATGCAGGATGAGTTGTATTAAAAGTCTGGATGTTAGTTACTGATGTCTACTTTCAGTCTTTTGGCTCTTATTGTTTGCTCACTTTAGTAAAACTGGAAAAATAAAGTGGGGATAAAACTGAAACTGGCCTTATTAGATTTCAGGACAACCTATAGGTTATTCCTATAGATTACCTCTTTTGTCCACCTTCCCCCAAACCATTCAGCAAGCAGGCTGTATTTCTGCATTTTTATAAGACACTTGTAGGTCTTCCCTGATGTTCAGTGGTTAAGAATCTGCCTTGTGATGCAGAGAATGCATCGCATTCCGTCCCTGGTTGGGTAGCTAAGATCCCACAAGTTTTGCAGCAACTAAGCCCACAAGTGACTCAACTACTGACCCCATGTGCCGCCAAGGAAAGATCTCCCACATAACAAAACGAAAACAGAAAAAGGTCCCAGGTGAAGCAACTAAGACTGAATGCAGCCAAATTAAAAAAAAAAAAAAAGACAACTATTGTCAATCACTTGCTATGATAACCACCACAGTGGTCACCCCAATAGTCGAACTCTACTGTCTAGTGAAGCAACATGCTGCTACCCTCACGCCTTCCATACTGAAATGTACCATCTAAATGTCTAACTTTCACTGACTTATTTTAAAGGTGTGACTACAGTTGCTTCTGTTTTAACAACCGGCAGAGCCGGTTTGTTTGAAATTTTTTATTCTCAGATGGATGACCTGTGAGCTATGGGAAAACACACACAATCAGAATGTCTTCATGTACAAACATGCCACTTTTCTAGGTTATGATGTCATTTCATCATGTGTTAAAGTTTTTGTAAAACAAAATGTAAGTACAAAACTCTGAGAGTTAAGTCCTTTCAGTTTGAAAAAGTTGCGATATTACTTATGCTTTCTGCACAACTAAGTTCTGCAAGTTGGAAATCACAGTGAGAAAACAAAGTCCAAAAAAGAAATATGACAGAACAGTCACAAGCAGAGAGAAAAGCTGCCAGAGTGATAGTGATGCAGAAATACTGTGCTGTGCACGCAGCAGGGGCTCAATAAATGATTTTTGAGCACGAAAAGTGAGATAAACCCTTTTCTGTTTTTATAAACCTTCTTGACCTCTAGATTAGAAGAAACTACAGGAAAAGGAGAAGCAAGGAGTACCAGACACAAAAATGATAATGAATGAAAACCTTGAAATGAAAGGACTCCTATGGTGTAACAGTATGAAGGGAAATAAGCAAAAGTTAATAACACATAGCATCTCTAGGAGCTGAAATCCCAAACCACATAGTCTTTGATCAAACCAAGGAAATGTGGAATTTAATGAGCAATTGGCAGTGTCCATTACACTGGCATCTTCAGTCAATAGCCAACAAGGGTACCCAAGACTCCCCCTCCCCAAAAAAGGCTGCGACGGAGAACTGGTCAAAGGGGCCGGTTCAGCAAAGTGACTGCAGCTTTATATTTAGCAGGCCTCTTCAAACCTTACAGCCCTGGGCCTAAGGTTCTGATATTACCCTGGACACAAGAACCAGGGGCAAGGTGAACAGTGCAGAGATGCCTCAGCCCTACCGATTCAAACTCTGGAGGCGGGAACTGGTATCCTCCTCTTTAGCCACACCTCTAGACTCTTTTGCCCGCTAAAGTTCAAAAACTACCATCTTAGATGGTGTTTGGTGCAATTGAAAGACAGAAAGTCCCCCGGAAAGGATTGAATGGGGGCCAGACTGGGGAGAACGAACACCAGATCCCTGTTGTCGTTCAGTCGTAAGCCGTGTGGGACTGTTCGCGACCCCCTAGACTGCAGCACGCCAGATCCCTGGGCCGGTACTAACACTACTCGCCCGCCCAAATAGGAGGCGGGAAGGGGAGCGGGAATGAGAGGAGGAAATCGGAGGTTTGAGGAGACCCCTGGCCACGCCGCGGCCCTCCCGGCAGCCCCCTCGAGAGTCGGTCTTTACCAGCGTGAGCAGCGCAGCAGCTTCTCCAGACGGTCAAACGCGGCGCGGCTGTGGGCCCAGGCCCCGCTGCCCGCCGGTTTCATGGCGGGCGCGGGATGAGGCTGGTTCCCGGAGCGGACCCTCGGCTGCCGGTTCCCCTGCATCGCCCCACTCTCGCGGGGTAGGCTCCTCCGAAGGCGGGAGGCTGGTAGAGCTCGGGCAACCTACGAGACACCGGAGACCCGCGACCCGACTCCTTGCCCCCGAGCCCAAGCAGTTCCTAGGTCTGGGCCAGCGAAACGCCTAGGGGGCGGGGCGCGCGGGGTGGGCGGGGCGCGCGGGGTGGGCGGGGCAAGGCCGAAACGCGCCAAAAGTAGGGGCACTTTAGCCGGTGGGGCGGGGCCTACGCAAGGGGAGCGGCCGCCGCAGGGCCCTTGTGTAGGCCGGAAAGGGGGCGGAGCCACAGGCTGTCTGGAGTGATAAATGCAAAAAACTGATAAGACTCTAAGGAACTTTCACTGAATTTATATGGAAAGTCACAAGCTAAGAAGTTTCAAGTTTTGTCTATGTTATTCGCTCACTCGTGTCTCTTTGCAACCCCCGTGTACTGTAGCCCACCAGGCTCCTCTGTCCATGGGATTTTCCAGGCAAGATAACTGGAGTGGGTTGCCATGCCCTCCTCCAGGGTACCTTTCGGACCCAGGGATGGATCCTGGGTCTCCTCATTGGCAGGCGAATTCCTTACCGTCTGAGCCACCAGGGAAGCCCTATAAGGAGTGCCATTTCGACAGTTGCTTTGTTTGGAAAAGCTTTGCTGTGACACTGAAGATGCCTCTCTGATTCCTAAGAAACTATCTTTCTTTTCTTTCCCCACTTCCTCTTCCACCCCCACCCCAGGCTTTTCCATGATAGCCATATATAGAGACGGGCTTTCCCAGTGGCTCAGAGAGTAAAGCGTCCGCCTGCAATGCGGGAGACCTGGGTTCTATTCCCGGGTCGGGAAGATCCCCTGGAGAAGGAAATGGCTACCCACTCCAGTATTCTTGCCTGGAAAATTCCACGGACAGAGGAGCCTGGTGGGCTACGGTCCATGGGATTGCAAAGAGTCGCACACGACTGAGCAACTTCACTTAGATATATACAGACTACTACTCACCCCTTCACCCCGCCCCCATCCACTCCACTGCCAAATCTTTGCATTTCCCGCCCCTAACTTACTCTCAAATTTTCCCATTTCTGTCTTACAGGTCCAGTTGTATCATTTTCGCCTAGATTTTCCCCATCACCTTCTAGCTGATTCCCCGGTGTCCCCCCAAGTCCCCTTCAATCTTTAAGCTACACCGCAACTGTCTAAAACATTTCCAAATAAACCCATGGTTAGTAGAAGTGGAAGGAGAAAACTATAAAGATTTTAACTGACCTATGATAGCACGGGAAACTAAGCACACACATATATGTACACATATGTATATATATATAAATTATGTGCTTAGTCACTCAGTCGTGTCTGACTCTTTGCGTCCCTATGGATTGTAGCCCACCAGGCTCCTCTGTCCATATATTGAAGTATAGTTGATTTACAGTGTTGTATTAATTTCTTCTGTGGCTTCCCTGGTGACTCAGAAGGTAAAGGATCTCCCTGTCATGCGGGAGACCCAGGTTTGAACCCTGGGTCAGGAACATCCCCGGGAGAAGGGAATGGCTATCCACTCCAGTATTCTTGCCTGGAGAATTCCATGGACAGAGGAACTTGGCAGCTCCAGTCCCTGAGATGGAAAAGAGTCAGACACAACTGAGAGACTGACACTTTCAACACTTTTCATATATATAGATATTCTTTTTTATGTTCTTTTCCATTATGGTTTATCACAGGATATTGAATATAACGCCCTGTGCCATAAAGTATGACCTTATTGTTTATTCATTCTATATGTAATAGTTTCCATCTGGTAACCCCAAAGTCTCAGACCCTCCCCCCAAACCCCCTCCCCCTTGGTATCCACAGGTCTGTTATTAATGTCTGTTTCTGTTTCATTTATGTTGTAGTTTAGATTACACAAAGTGTTATCATATGATATGTCTTTCTCTTTCTGACTTCACTTAGTTGATAATCTCTAGATCTTTCCATGTTGCTGCTAATGGCATTATTGCTTTCTTTTTTATGGCTGAGTGGTATCCCATTGTAGATATGTACCAGATGGTCTTTGTCCATTCATCTCAGACAGTCCTACTTCTAATCCCACTTCCTCTACTGAATAACTGTGTGATTTAAACCAAGTCTTAAATTCTCTGGGAATTTGTTTCCTTATTTGCAAAATAGGGATTTATCCTGTAGATTTGTAAGATTATTAAATGAGATAAATGTAAAATCACCTACATCATAAGTACTCAAAACCAATTAGAAGATGACTGGCACATTCACAGTGCTTTACTTATCCTAAAATACATTGAATACTTTTATCAGATGCCTTTTATTTTTTTATCAGGGCATACTTTACTTTGTGATCAGAGTAAATGAAAATTTCACATTTTGGTCAAATGCTTTGAGAACCAAATAATTGTTACTGGTCTAGTCATAGTGCTATTAAGTGAATTATGATGCGGGGCAATGAGGTCTTTCTCCTGTTTGTCTCCTTTTTCCTTGCCTCTACCACTGCTCCACAGGTCTTCCCCAGCGGCTCACCCAGTAAAGAATCTGCCAGGAATGCAGGAGATTGCCTGCAATCTCTGAGTTGGGAAGATCACCAGGAGAAGGAAAAAACAGCCCACTCCAGTATGTTCGCTTGGGAAATCCCATGGACAGAGGAGTCGGGAGGGCTACAGTCCATGTGGTCACAAGAGTTGGACACAACTTAGTGACTAAACCACCACCACTGCTTCGTTAGCGCCCATCCCCCAACCTCACAAAATTATTGGCAGCTGTTTTGTGATCAAGAGAATAGGCAAAGTTATTTTTCCATCAGCCACTTCCCCTTCCATTCCCTACTCCCAGCCCCGCAGTGCTGCAGTTCAGCTGGCTGATGCTCACTTAGTTGAGATGGAATATGTGTTTTTAAACCAACTCTTCCTCCCAGCCCTAGATCCTGAATTTCAAGAACCAATTCTTTCTCACACGTCCACTGTGCGTGCAGGAAAAAGATGAGCAACCTTTCAGGATGAGGTCCACCAACAATGTGTAAAATCCTGAAATTCTGCTCCCAAAGAAAACCTCCCCTGGGAAATCTAGTCCATTCATAGGATTCCAGTGGAGTCTTAGCTTAGGGCATTAACAACACCCCTCCTCTGCTTTAAAAGGGCGAAATGGTATCTTCACATCACTTCATGGCAAATAGACAGGGAAATAAAGGAAACAGTGACAGATTTTATTTTCTTGGGCTCCAAAATCACTACAGACTGTGACTGCAGCCATGAAATTAGAAGATGCTTGCTCCTTGGAAGAAAAGCTATGACAAACCTAAATGAAAATCTAGACAGTGTATTAAAGAGCAGAGACATCACTTTGCTGACAAAGGTCTGTATAGTCAAAGCTATGGTTTTTCCAGCAGTCATGCATAGATGTGAGAGTTGGACCATAAAGATGTCTGAGCGGCAAATAATTGAAGTTTTTGAGTTGTGGTGCTGGAAAAGACTCAATGACTTCCTTGGACTTCAAAGAGATCAAACCAGTCAATCCAGAAGGAAATCAACCCTGAATATTCATTGGAAGGACTGATGCTGAAGCTGAAACTCCAATACTTTGGCCACTTGATGCAAAGAGGCAACTCATTACAAAAGACCCCGATGCTGGGAAAGATTGAGGTCAGGGGGAGAAGGGGATGACAGAGGATGAGATGGTTGGAGGGCATCACCAACTCAATGGACCTGAGTTTGAGCAAACTCCAGGAAATGTGAAGGACAGGGAAGCCTGGCATGCTGCAGTCCATGCAATCACAAAGAGTCAGACACAACTAAGTGACTGAACAACAAAATAGTATCTTATGTCCCTTTCTGTTTCCCTGCAAGGACCTCCTGAATCCTTTAGAGTTGAGGTTTGCTGCCTCATTTCACTCCTAGTCTTTCGTTCTCTTCTCCCAAATAAGCATTATTCTCCAGAACCTTAGAACCTGGACTCTTCCAAAATTATTCATCCTACCCCAGTGTAACACTCTGGTACTAGGAGGGAATCTGAATGATACAAATTGGCTTGCTGTAGCCTACTTGCAGTCAGCAAAAAACAAGACCGGGAGCTGACTGTGGCTCATGTCATGAACTCCTTATTGCCAAATTCAGACTTAACCTGAAGAAAGTAAGGATAACCACTAGACCATTCAGGTATGACCTAAATCAAATTCCTTATGACTATACAGTGGAAGTGAGAAATAGATTTAAGGAACTAGATCTGATAGACAGAGAGCCTGATGAACTATGGACGGAGGTTCGTGACATTGTACAGGAGACAGGGATCAAGACCATC